GCAGCCGTGACTTGTTATCACTGATCCTCGAGGCGAACATGTCCCCGGACATCCCAGATTATCAGAAACTGAGCGATGCCGAGGCTATAGGACGTACGTCTCCCTCACCCTGCCCTCGTATCTCATCGTCGAATATAAAACAGAGATTCCCACATTTTTCCTTGCTGGCCACATAACAACGAGGTCCGTCTTTGCATTCGGTACCAGCTTCCGGTAGCACATTTACGAGATACAGCACTGCGACCGCTTGGGCACTGTATGCACTCTCCATGAATCGCACCCTCCAAACCAGACTTCGCCAAGAGCTCTTTTCCCTCACGACGGACACCCCGACACTCGATGAACTGAACTCGCTACCCCTTCTGGAAAACATAATCCGAGAAACCATGCGCCTCTACCCTCCGGTGGTTGCCACTCGACGGAAGTCCACGGTGGATGATGTCTTGCCTCTAGGGCGCCCTCACACCGATATACACGGGAAGGTGCACAACTCCCTCCCGTATGTTGTTTTCTTGTCACATACCAGCTTTGGAATGGTTCCTGAATTAATCCAGGATCCGCAAAGGCCAAGTCATTCACATTCCGATATTAGACGTGAATACCAATGAATCCATCTGGGGAGAGGATGCTGCCGAGTTCAAGTACGCGTCGAAATCCGTGTCAATACTAATTAACTGTTCTGACTGATCAGACCTGAGCGGTGGGAACACGTCCCAGATGCTGCAAGTGCAATTCCATCCGTGTGGGCACACCTTCTCACATTTCTCGCCGGACCACGAAACTGCATCGGTTTCCGCTTCTCGATTGCCGAGTAAGCTTTTTCTAGTGTTTCAACGTGCAAATTGTACTGACTCGGAGGAAAGACAAAAAGTCCTCCTCTTTACGCTGATCCGCGCATTTGAATTTTCGCCCGCTCTTCCGGAGGGCGAAATTGTGATGAGCAGTGCAGGGCTCCAGACACCGATGGTCGTTTCCGAAAAGAGGAAGGGAAGTCAGCTGCCGTTGATTGTGACGGCGTACACGGGGGCTTAAAACCGTCATATTTTGTACCTCTTTGATATCACAAAACGGTTTGCAATCGGAGATTACTGTATATATTACTAGTCTCTCTATTTTCTAGCATGTGGCTGTCGTACAGATCCCCCACATTTATTTTCAATGTGTTCGGGTTGAATTGGTATCTGTTTATTCTCGTGCAGGGCTGCTTCTATTGGACAAATAGAGAAGATATAAGGCAGCAGTCTGGGTTCGACTCCCTGCGTCTCAATTATCCTATCCCTTGCAATTCTTTTTCATATGCAGCTGAAGGCGCTAGTATATATATTTCAGGGAGAAGAGAATTAACGGGACGTAATATACGGTGCACAGCTGATTTCATTGGGTTCCGAATAGACTATCAAGGCAGCAGGACAGGGTTTAACTCCTTGTGTCCCAGTCATCTTTATTCATTTCCTTTTATCCTGCAAAATGCAGAATGAGGGGAGTTTACAGTGTGAGGGATGAACGGGACTTGGTGAATGGTGCATGGCGGCTTCTCCTGTCTCATTCGACGCGGTAAAGGCGGCAGGACGGGGTTCAACTCCCTGTGTTCCAGCTTCCCCGTGTTTTTTTCGCCTCAATTCTTTTTTGGTAGGCTTGAATTTGCTGAGTTTATTGTGTGCGGGATGAAAAAAAATGGGACGTGGTGTATGGTGCACAGCTGCTTCTATTTCGGCTGTATCCTGATCTACAGGCAGAAATGCAGCGTCCCAGTTACTCTTCTCTCTTTTTTCTTGTCTGCACAATGCAAAACTTGAGACTGTGCTGAGGGGGGAAGGAAGAGAAGAAATGGGACGTGGTCTGCGGTGCATGGCTGCTCTCATTAAAGTGATGATATAAAGATAAAGGCAGTAGGGCGGGGTTCGACTCCCTAGGTCCCAATTGCTGTCCGAAACTCCGACTTTCTCTTCCCATAAGCAGAAGGTAGTGAAATATATTGAGGGGAACAGGAAATGAAGAAATGGGATGTGGTGTACGGTGCACCGCTGCACGCGCTAAGTCTGAAAGAAACCACAGTAGTAAGCAGCAAGGCGGGGTTCGACTCCCTGTGTCCCAATCAATATTTCTTGCCCTACGGTTTTTTTTTCGGTCCACGGCTGCTCCAGCTACCAGTGAACCACATTGTTGAAGCAGAAAGGCAGGGTTCGACTCCCTGCGTCCCAGTCCTTTTCATTCTTTAATCTATTCTGCAAAATGCAGAATGAGGGGAGTTTATAGTGTGAAGGATTAACAGAATGAATGGAATATGGTGTATGGTGTACGGTTCCCTTGGGATGACGAGGATAAGTTGGGCAGCAGGACGGGATTCGACTCCCTGCGTCCCAGTCCCTTTTTTATTCTTCAATCTATTCGGCAAAATGCAGAATGAGGGGAGTTTATAGTGTGAAGGATTAACAGAATGAATGGGATATGGTGTATGGTGTACGGTGCATGGTTGTTTCCTTTGGGGTTCAACTCCCAGGGTCTCAATTCTTTGTAATTTCTGCAACTTTTGCTACCGTGTGGCAGTTTTTGCACAGGCCGCAAAGTGTCTAAGAATCTCAAGAGTTTATTATTGTGTGAGAGATAATAGGAATCAATGGGACGTGGTGTATGGTGCACGGCTGCTTCCATTGGTAACGGAAGAAAATATTGTTAAGGCAGCAGGACGCCACTTCCTTCCAAATTCGGCAACCTCATTTAGTATCGTGGTACCAGAACTGACGGCGCTGAACATCGATAAAATTCTAAGTGGTTGAATAAAGCGCGTCGTAGTTTTCCATTTCACCAAGAGAGCTGTTGAGATTAGTCTGGAGAAATCTCGGATGGGTCATGTCGACTGCATTGTATTCACCGCAAGAATCACAACGGGCAGATGACCCCCGGCGCATTCCCGGCCGAATACACCACATGTGTCAGGCTAGATTTTATTGTCTCGGCTCAACTGAAGCTTCATGCCCATCACAGGCCATGCACGAAGAGGTTGGCCCGCGTAGACCTACAAAACTAGGCTCAAGCGAACTTGTCACCAACTGGAAAGAAAGAACCGGTTCCGTCACATCATGGTCTCCTTCAATTCCCTGTTGCTCCTCGTTGTCTCAACCTCTGTGGCTTCCACCCGTGGAGTTGCCATCCAGAGCAGTCCTAGACAAAATGGGCTCTCACCCAGGCAGTCTGTGGGTTTACTTTCCTACTTATTGTCCGCGCGCATCTCTGATCCCACTCCAGTGCGCGCCACTCAACTATCTATGCAACATACCCGGTTGGCCCGCGGTTACCTGTTGCGAGGGCACCGTCTGCACATTTATTATTACTGTATACTCCGCGTGCATACCGGCGCCAGCGACGACGGCGACAAGCATTTGATCTTTATATATCATTCTTGTGGGTGGATCATGATGCTTTGGAATCGGCATCTGTGCTGAACTACTCGACTAGGCTGTTGTTTCCACGCCTTGATTTCCTTTCATTCATCGTTTTCGCGTACCTGATTCTAAATGTATTCACTCTTTCGTGTTTTTCTTTCTGCCCTTCAAGTCCCCCGACATCAGGTGTCCACATTCTGATTATTTTTTTTCGTTCATACTCCCCTTCGTTTTCACGTACCTGATTCTGCATGGATTCACTCCTTCATGACTTCTTTCTACATCTCCAGTCCAGGACATGATGTCTTTCGAGCCGGTTAATCACTGGATCATGTACATAAGTGATATGGTCATCGGTTCCAAACTGCATTCTCTTCGGCACCTGAAGTGGTTCCATGCCATCTCACGCCCATCCCATCGTTGTTCAACTCTCCATCTTAAGTCTTCGATGGCTTGTTCAGATCTTGATCTGTATTCAATTCGTTCTTCGCCGGCTCACTCGGTTATATCTGCCCTTTCGTCGGTATAAAGGCGGCGGCTTCCTTTCTTCGCATCGAACCAGATTCCAAGGCGTGTGTGTATGTGGAAGCCAGGAATCGGAGGGTCATACAAATAAATATGGCCCGAAATTTTGGTGAACGTCAGTTACTCTGTATGGTGGTCAGGTCCCAGAGAGTTCTAACCGGTGGTCCCGCAATTCAGGCAGCCGGCCAGTCCACGGTTCCGAACTTGTTAGAGCTAAATACCTGTATTAGTAACAATAGTTTCCACGTTACGTAGTGTACGGTGCACGGCTGCTTCTCTTTGCAGGAGACGAGGAAGTTGGGCAGCAAGACGGGGTTCGACTCCCTGTGTCCCAATATTACTTTTTATTCTAAACAGTGCAGAACTATGGAATTTAATGTGTGATGGATAAAAAGAATCAATGGGCCGTAGTGTACGGCACATGGCTGCTTCCCTTAGGGTGACGAATTTGTGAAGAGGTAAGACAGCGAGGCTGGTCCTGTGTCCCAATTATATTCTCCTATCTAGACATTCTTTTTTCATAACACCCGCTACTCGAGTTTAGAATAGGCAGGATGAGGAGAAGAAATAGGACGTGGTGTACGGTGCACAGCTGCTTTTATTTAAGTACCTCGATGACGCTCGCTAAGGCAACAGGACGGGGTTCAACTCCCTGCGTCCCAATCATTTTTTTCCTCAATTTTTCCTGGACAGTGCGGAACGAGGGGAGTTTATTGCGTGCGGAGCATGGAAAGAAAAAAATGAGACGTGGTGTATGGTGCACAGCAGCCTCTACTATGAAAGAAAGTTTCGAGGAAGTAGTACAAGCAGCAAGCCAGGGTTCGACTCCCTGCGTCCCCATGCAACCGAATTCAGGCAATTTTTCTTTTTCATAAGCAGAAGGTAGGAAAATATATTGAGGGAGGAAGGATTAGAAGAAATGGGACGTGGTGTATAGTGCACGGCTGCTTCTGTTTAGAAGAGTATTTGCCATAAGTAAAAGCAGCAGGACGGGGTGCGACTTCTTGTGTCCCGATTTTCCCTCCAATCTTTTTTTTTTTTCATAAGCATAAACTGAGCAACATATATCGAGGGACAGAGGAAGAGAAGAAATAGGATGTGGTGTATGGTGCACGGCTGCTTCTATCTAGGAAGTTTGCGACAAGTAAAAGCAGCAGAACGGGGTTCGACTCCCTGCATCCAAATGTTCTCCTCCATCTTATTTTTTTTTTCATAAGCAGAAGGTAGTGAACTATATTGAGGGGCACAGGAAGAGAAGGAATAGGACGTGGTGTACGGTTCACGGCTGCTATTATTAAATGGGTGACATCATGATTAAGACAGCAGGACGGGGTTCGACTCCCTGCGTCAACCCTGCGTCCCAATTCATTTTTTTTTTTGCCTTTTGCAGCCGAACGAACTTGCATTTTCTCGAAGTTCAAATTCGCTGAGTTTAGCGTGTGCGGGATGAAAAAGAAAATGGAACGTGACGTATGGTGCACAGCAGCCTCTACTATACAAGCACGTTTCGAGGAAGTAAAAGCAGCAAACCAGGGTTCGACTCCCTGTGTCCCAATTTTTTCTTTGCTTTTTTCTTTCTTCTTTTGTTACGCGCAGTTACACGGCGGTTGGTCGCACTTTTCTTTTTGCTAGCGAGCTGAGTGAGTCCAACGGATTACGCAACTCACCGCATATAGATTCCGTGCAATCCGCCTATGATACCTACCTACCCTACCCACCGTTATCGCAGCAGCCGATTGTTGACTGTAATTTATACCCGCAGGGTACCTCTTTGTGTGCAGTGTAAGGATGCATATCTCACAGCAAGGGTATATATCTCGCGCTGAAAAGGGCGGGGATAGTGTTATCTGGGGCATCATTCATGCGTGCGTGAACGATGAATACCCACTCGTAAGTAACTGAACGATGAATAAATGAATAAGTAATGCGTGCAAACGGAAATGGTTATCAGCCTTGGAAAAAAAACAGCTTGTGTTACAGCCGTTTGCAGAACTTAGGGCGCGGCCTTTTTTTTTTTTTTTTGTCAGTTTTCTTTCGCTCAGCGATAGCGAGCTCAATTCTTTTCCGTTTGGCTTAAAAATAGGCTCATCTTCTCGGCAATGAAAATGCCGATCCGACCACCACCTTCAATTTTCCTGATGCGATCAAAATTGCCTTATCAGGTAAATATCGGTCTTTTTGCACAAAATGATGAGCATGATAGCTATAGTTGTCCAACTGACCTAGAAATTTGAGAGGATGGTCTTGGTTGTATTTTGGAGGGCTGAGAATACCGGGATTTCTTATATCATATGTGGTTCCCATATACAGGGTACTTGAATATCCATCATGGTGAGAATGCGGAATACTGGCGAAATAAAGCACACATTGAAAATACCGGCATTTCTGGCCCTTGGTAATACTCATAAGGATGTTGTATCAAATTTATATGCCAATCTGATCACCACACAGACAATGTGACAAGTTCTGTGCAAAAATAAGGCAATTATGATTGCATCAGGAAAATTGAAGGTGGTGGTCGGATAGGCATTTTCATCGTCGAGAAGATGAGCCTATTATTAAGCCAAACGGAAAAAAATTGAGCTCGCTATCGCTGGGCGAAAGAAAACTAACAAAAAAAAAAAAAAAAAGGCCGCGCCTTAGGTTCTGCAAACGGCTGTAAATACAAGAGGATTTTGTGACGAAAAGGGAATATTATGTATATCATATCAGGTCCGCGGGGTTTGCGCGGCTTTTGAGGTGCTGTCGCCATTTAACATTCGAGTGTCGCCAAGGCAAGCCACTGGCACATAAATAACACTCGACAGACAAGTTGAAACGTTGAAGGGCTGGAAGGCTGTAAACTGTAAATAGTAGGTGGCGCCGGCCCTGCGTCCGACGGAACCGGGGTGCGAAACCGGAATGCGGAGTCAGTGGGGTGGGATTGGCAGTGCCTGATGCGAATAGTAATACCAGCGAGGTAAGACAACATGGCGCAGTGCGCACCAACGGCTATAGACTATGAAAGTCTCAGTGAGGAAATAAGGCAGTGAGGCAGGATTTGACTCCCTGTGTCGCAATATTTTTTATTTCTTTCTTTCAATTTGTTCGGAACAGTGCAAAAGTTGAGAGTGTGTTGAGGGTGGAAGGAATATAAGAAATGGGACATGGTGTATGGTGCACAGCTGCTCCTACTACCCAAGTCGACGGTTGGATATAGGGCAGCAAGTCCGGGTTCGACTCCTTGTGAACTTTCCCGTGTTTTTTCGCCTCAATTTTCTTTTGGTAGGCTTGAATCTGCTGAGTTTATTGTGTGCGGAATGAAAAAGAAAAAATGGGACGTGGTGTACGGTGCACGGCTGCTTCTGTTTAATGTCGTTGGGGCAAGTAAAAGCAGCAAGCCGGGGTTCGACTCCCTGCATCCCAATTGTTCTCCTCCATCTCATTTTTCTTTCATGAGCAGAAGATAGGAAAATATATTGAGGGGCACAGGAAGAGAAGGAATGGGACGTGGTGTACTGTGCACGGCTGCTTCTACTAGTGGAGTCGATGGTTGGAAATAAGACAGCAAGCCGGGGTTCGACTCCCTGTATCCCCATGCAGCTGAATTCAGTTAATGTTTCTTTTTCATAAGCAGAAGGTAGTGAATATATTGAGGGATGAAGGAATGCAACTAACGGGACGTGGTGTACGGTGCACGGCTGCTTCCATTAGCGAGATGGTTGTGAATAAGGCAGTAAGACGGGGTTCGATTCCCCGTGTCCCAATTAGTCTGAAAGTGTCCATCTATTTTTTTTTTCATCGCTGGATTAAATAAATACAACAACATGTATTGAGGAGCAAAGGAAAAGCAGGGATGGGATGTGGTGTACGGTGCACGGCCGCTTCTGTTTATTGTCCTTCGGAGAAGTAAAAGCAGCAAGCCGGGGTTCGACTCCCTGGGTCCCAATTGCACGATTCTTCAACTGAATTTTTTTTTAGTAGGCTTGAATTTGCTGAGTTATTGCATGCAGAACAAAGGGTGTTAATGGGACGTGGTGTACGGTGCACAGTTGCTGCTGCTTATCGACTTCTGATGTGATAAGCAGAAAGGCATGGTTCGACTCCCTGCATCCCAATTGCTCGGTCCTTCCCTTCGCTTCTTTTTTGGTAGGCTTGAATTTGCTGAGTTTATTGGGTTCAGAACAAAGAGAGTTAATGGGACGTGGTGTATGGCGCACGGCTGCTGTAGCTGCAAAGAGGATATTATTGTTGAGGCAGCAGGACGGGGTTCGACTCCCTGTGTCCCAATGATTTTATTTATTTATTCCTTTCGTTCATTCTGCACAGTGCAAAATTTCGAGAATGTGTTGAGGGCGGAAGGAAGGGTATTTAATGGGACGTGGTGTACGGTGCACGGCTGCTTCTATTATGCAGAGGCGAACATGATGTGTAAAGGCAGTAGGGGGGGGTTCGACTCCCTGTGTCCCAATATTTTTTATTTCTTACCTTCAATTTATTCTGAACAGTGCAAACGTTGAGTGTGTGTTGAGGGTGGAAGGAAGGGAGATAATGGGACGTGGTGTACGGTGCACAGCTGCTGCTACTTATCGACCTCTCATGTGATAAGCAGCAAGCCGGGGTTCGACTCCCCGCATCCCAATTGTTCAGCCAGGAACCTCGCTTCTTTTTTAGTATGCTTGAATTTGCTGAGTTTATTGTGTGCAGAACGAAGGGAGTTAATGGGACGTGGTGTATGGTGCACAGCTGCTTCAACTAGTTGAATGTCGACATCAAGGCGGAAGGACGGGGTTCGACTCCCCGTGTCCCAATAAAATTCTAGTCTTCATTTTTTTTTTTTTTTTTTTGGCTATCAGGCATTTATATTCTGCGAATACGTTTTTAATTTTTTGTGGGCTGCGCGGTTGGGTGGACGTCGTCTTTTGCGCGCTGACTGAGTGCTGAGCGAGCAGTAAGCACGGATTTAGATGCTGTACCACCGGCGGAGCTGTAAGCCTTATCTTTGCGCGCAAGGAAAGAGATATATATCTCGACGAACAGATGGATACTTAAACGGGATGTATACCTCTACCTCTTGCGACGCAATTGCAACCAGAACTTAAGCGAGGGTATATAATGATCTCGCGCTGAAACGGCCGCGGGGATAAGTGTTATCGGGCGAAGATTAATGTACATATCAAGGGTGCGTGAACGATGAATGTTTCACTCGATGAATACTCAACTGCAGGACTCGTAACTCAACCTGAACGATGTACATAGGTAGTATCAGGGCCGTATAATATTACACGGCACGGTCCACCTATGAACGCCGGGGGTGCCAACGGAAATGATTATCACCTCCATCGCCCCAAAAACCCCGCTTGTGCTCACAACATTAATATTTATAAGTGTCCGCGGCGTTTGCGGCTTTAGGGTCGGATAAGACTCCATTATACTCCGCTAGGTGTGTCGCTGTAGAGCTGTCGCCAAGACATACTTGATAAGAAAGATAATGTCAACCCAAGCTGTATAATATATATAAATGGGCAAGTGGCGTCCGACGGAGCCGGATGTCGGTGCGGAGTGGGGTGGGAGAGCAGATGCCAGACGTACAGTACAGTAAGCAAACAAATGCACTCGCCGAGTCCCCGGAAAGTAGTGCCTGAGGCTAATAATAATACCAGTGAGGTAAGATAACTGAATTGGCGCAGTGGTGCGCACAAACGGCTCTAGATGCTTGCTCGTTGCTGTGGCCTAGCCCCGCACTCCACTCCTTTCTGCGTTCTGGGCCTTATTAATTATGTGCTGTGCCTTGGTGCCCTCCTTAACATCGCGCGGGCCCCGGATGAATGGATATTGCGCGGATAAACATTGAAAGGAGTGGACGGGGCTCCTATTTAGTTTGACGGCTGTGGCACAACGGAGGATGGTTATGGAAGATTTTAAAAAGGCTAGACCTGTCTATCACTGTCGACGGGATTCTTTATCTGCGGCTGTGCTGTGCACGGAATCAATTTATGTAAGAGTGAAATTTTTTAGGGTACGAGTAGGGGCGAGTTCGAGTGTGGTATGGGTCGTTGGAGGAGCATAGCACACGACACGACATAGGAATTAATTTTAATGCAAGCTGCAGTAAGAAAGGAAGAGAACCGCTCTAAGGTCGCGTCGCAAAAAGCTCGGACACACGCCAAGGCCAGCGGGAATAATATTACCGTGTGGCTCGTGATTGGGCGATAAGCAGCCGATTGGAGTGTAAATGTAGTTGTTTACTATCTCCTGAGTTTGGTCTGTCCGACTTTGCTCCCTCCCTCCATAATGGCTGACCGACTCGTCACCCGCGGCGCCGACCTAATCGTCAACGCGCTCGTCGCGCGCAATGTCAACATCACATACGACGCGTCCGGCGACATGACCTACATCGACGATACGGGCACGCCGTTCGTGTACAATCTCGGCGACATCGCCTGGGTCCTCGCTTCCACCGCCCTCGTCTGGATAATGGTCCCCGGTGTCGGCTTCTTCTACTCGGGTCTCCTGCGCCGCAAGAACGCATTGAGCATGATCTACCTCAGCATGCTGTGCCTCGCGGTCGTGTCCTTCCAGTGGTTCTTCTGGGGCTTCTCCCTGGCGTTCAGCGAGGAAGGGAAGAGCGGCTTCGTGGGCGACCTCAAGTACTTTGCCCTGCGCGGCGTGCTGGAGAAGCCCAGCATCGGCAGCACACGGATCCCTTCGATTGTGTTTTGCGTGTATCAGCTCATGTTCGCCGCCATTACACCGATGCTCGCGATTGGCGCGGTAGCGGAGCGCACGCGGCTCTGGCCCCTGGTGTTCTTCATATTTGCGTGGAGCACGCTCGTGTACGACCCCATCGCGTGCTGGACCTGGAACTCGAACGGGTGGTATGTCTGTCTTTCTTGCGCCCCCTTTCTTTCCACGCCCCGCTTCCATTCCACCCGGCGCTTCCCTTGGGCTTCGCGAACCCGCACAGCCAGCCCCTATCCCCTTCTTTGCCTTTCCGGCGTCTTACCCCACCACCTATCTTTGCGCCTATCGCGCTTCTATTATTCCTGTCTTTTCTTATCTTACGACGCTTCTTCACTCGGCGCCACCAACATTCTCTTCTTCATCTCTTTTTTTCTTTCTTTTTTAATACCTCTGCTCCCGCTTCCCCACCGATCGTCTTTTCCGCTCGTTTTTCTCACCTCCACTTCTTTTTTTTCTCATCTCGTTACTTTCGTTCTTCATCTCCTTCCTTCCTCACCTTGGCCCTTCTATCCATCCATTCCCCGACCTTCTTCCATCCATCCTTCCCACCCCCGTCAAGTTCCTTCCCTTCTTTCTTCTCACCTTCACTTCCTTCTTCCTTCTTCCTTCTTCCCTTCCCTCCCTCCCCCCACGTCCACGCGCTGTGCGGGGAGCGGGTCGGCGCCGTCCCGTGCGCACCCCTTGCCTCATCCAAAAAAACCTTGCTCTCCTTCCCCTCAAAATCCGTATAACCCCTCTAACCCCCCTCCCACCAACACAGGTCCTTCGTCCTCGGCGGACTCGACTTTGCCGGCGGCTCGCCCGTGCACATCTCCTCTGGCTCTGCCGCGCTCGCGATCAGCATCTATTTGGGTAAGAGGGTCGGGTGGGGGACGGGGAGGTGCGTTTTTTTTTTTTTCTTTTGATGCGTTTTTTTTGGGGGGGGGGTGGATTGGGGAGGGGAGAGGAGAGGCGGCGATGGAGAGCGCGCGTGCTGTTGTGTCGTCATTGCGCGTGCATGGTGGGGGTGGGATTGCTCACCCTGGGCTGGCGAGTGCGCGTCGGGCGTCGGATGGGGATGGGGTGCTGGTGCCGCTGGTGATGTTTCTCGATACATCATGCCTCCGCGCGCATCGTCGGGTGTTTGTCGTCGATGCGTGAACCGCGCACCAGCCGAGATGGGGTGTTCGTTCGTCGGCCGTCATTGGTGCGGTGTCGTGGACCTGCGCCGGGGCGTCGGGTGCGTGTCGACGTGTTCCCGACACGCGTTGCTGCCGTGTGTGGGTCGTTAAGCCTGCGCTACAGTCGGTGCTTCACCTCCTCGCTACCTACCTCCACACTACCTTCCTGTTCCTTTAAATCCTTCTTACTCTCTCACGCTCTCCCCTCTCCATCGTAAATCCTTTACTCATCATCCTCACAACAGACTCGCATACAAGCCGCACAACACGTCGTACGTCGTGCTCGGGACCGTGTTCCTCTGGTTCGGGTGGTTTGGGTGCGTTTGCGTTTTTGTGTGCTCTTTTGTGTTTTGGGCGTTTGGGGGGGTTTGGGCTGCGCAGCGCGTTGGGAAGTGGTGGTGACTCGTCGTATCCGCCGCGAGCCCCGCCTTCCACCGATGCCCGGTACCACGCTGCGCACTCCCCATTCCCATTCTCTCCCACTACGCCCCTTCCTTCCGTACTGTACAAGCCTCTCCCTCCCTCCTCCCCTCCTCGCCGCTTCCCGCCCCCCCCCGCCCTCCCCTTCCCCGCCTAGCGCTGACTTACCTACCTTTCCCTCTCTCCCTTCTTTCCCTTTCCTCCCTTTTACTTTTACTTTTCGCTGCCCTCGCCTTCGGCTCCCCATACTCACCCCTCCCCAATAGCTTCAACGGCGGCTCCGCCCTCTCCGCCAACCTGCGCGCGGCCAATGCGTGCATTATTACCAACCTCGCGGCGAGCGTGGGCGGGCTGACGTGGATGTTTTGGGTGCGTTTCTGTCTCTTTTCTTCATGCGTTCAAGAGTTTTTTCTTTTTTTTTTTTTTTTGGGGGGGGGGGGGATTGCGGAGTGGGTCGTGGTGCGTTTGCCGAAACTGGTGGAGCACGTCGTAGCGTGGTGGTGGAGGACCCCCCGCTTTAAAGCGTGCTTGGTGGTCCCAAGGCGGACGTGGGCCTCGGTGCGCTGGGCTGCGGCCTTGTGTGTGTGGGGGGCCGTGTGCGTGGGAGCCGTGGTGCGCTAGGCTGCGGACGTGGACGTGGAGCAGGGTTGGCGCCGGTGATGTACGCGGCGCGGAGGGGAGGCGTCGCGCAGCACCTCCGAGGGGACGACGCAGCGACGACGGGCGCGTATTTCCTTGGAGGGGACGCCGTTGCAGAGGGGCGTCCGGCGCAGAGCGGGAGGTGTCCGCGCTTGCTCGCTCATTGGGGGCAGCAGCGACGGTTCGGGTGGGGGCGGGAGCTGCGTCCACGTTTGCTGATGCTCTGCGAAACGTCTGCGCCTATGCACGAGAACGGTGTGGTCGCTAGGTGGTGGTGGCTGAGCCCCTTCCTCGCTCGTGGGCGGTGCGCGGTGCGAGCGGAGGGGGCGCCGGTGCGGCGTCTTCCTCGTCTCCTCGGGCTCTCTCCTCCTCTAACTTCTTCCCTTCCTCCCTCTTTCCTTCCCCACACCCTCCTTCCCTACCCACAAAACCTGTATTAACCTTCCCGCAGGACTGGCGCCTCGAGCGCAAATGGAGCGCGGTTGGCTTCTGCAGCGGCGCGATCGCGGGGCTCGTGGCGATCACGCCGGCGAGCGGGTTTGTTGGGGCGCGTGAGTGGTTTGCTTTTTTTGTTCTTTTTCGTATTGGGAGGTAGACGTTGGGGCTTCGGAGCTTTGTCGCGAGGAGGGGGATTGGGGTGAGGCGCCGTCGCGCGCGGGCCGGACGCACACATCCCCTC